ACCTTGTTCTTTGACTGTCCAGGAAATGAAGGAAAGTTTATTTAAAGAAAATTTAAATCCTGAAATTGCCATGTCCTCCCACAGCTTTCTTGAGCTTCTCCTGGGAAAATCACATACTTAACCGTCTCCCTCGTTTAAAAGAAAAAAAAAAGAAAAAAGAAAAAATCACGAGAGAGAGGTGAAGTGAAAAAAGAAGTTCAAGAAAGCTGTGGAAAAACATGACCAGGACTTCGATAGTAAACACTCAAGAATTTTAACTAAAGAATTCCCCCGGAACTCTCAGATCTCCTTTCACTGAATATTATTCTTCTCTGTGAGTAGTTTGTTTTTTTGGTTGCTGATGATGATGATGATGGTGATGATGAGTGAGATAGAAAAAAAGAAATTAAGAGAAGACAGAGAAAAGAGAGAGAGAGAGAGAGAGAGAGAGAGAGAGAAGGGCATGCCCATACAAAGTCCATGGACCACTCTACCAATATATAATCTGTATGTACCAGCTTTATAGAGAGGGAGAGAGTGTGAGAATTGAAAAGTTGAGAATTTTAGAATTTTATATAAAAATAAAAATATATACCCTTCATTCTTTTTTTAAATTTTTTCCCGGCTTCATGTTCTTTCTTTTCTTCCTGGTTTAACTACACTTTGTACTTTTTTTTTAGAAAAAAAAAAAAAAAAACCTTTATTGAAAATACCAAGACAATTCATACACCACAAACAGGACATACAAACCCAAGTTTTAGGTGTAACCCTCCACCCATTACATCTCTGGGTTCATTTCTTTTTCGTGAATTCATTTCTTCCCCCCTCCCTTGGGTTTTACTTCATTCTTTTGTTTTTTACTTACCAAATGTTAAAAAAAAAAAAAAAAAAACAACCTTTCACCCTTTAAGTAAATTTTCCCTTCAATGGGTTATTTTATTTTAACTTCCTGCTTTCTGGGTTCGTTTCCTTTTTTTTTTTTTTTACCCCCACTTCATTTTTTCTTCCCCTTTACTTGCAAATGTTAAGAGAACCAAAAAAAAAAAAAAAAAACTCAGCTTTACTAGTGAGTGCGTTGTGGGGTACCGCATTACATTAGACAATCAGTTAAATGGGTAAAGCAAACAAATCAGGAAATATGATATTTTTATAACTAAACACCCACATGTTTATGTATATATATATATATATATGTATATATATGTGTATGTGTATATTATATGTATATGAAATTAAAACAAGAAAAAAAAAATAATTAATTTAAAGAAGGAAACGAGAGAGGGAAATTTCAAGAAACTACCCCATCCCCATCACATGCAACCATGTGATTTCGATCTCTTACTTCTTTATTTTTAATTTTTTTAATTATTATTAGAGACTCAATGGCATGGGCTGTTTATGGTCCCCCAATCGTTATATTTTTCCAATATATATATATATATATACATACACATATACACACACACATATATTGTGGTGATCATTCATCATGCTATTCTATAACTCTCTCCACCTTTTCTTGGATTTTTTTTTTTTTTTATATAAAGTTTTGAGATCTTTCTAGATAATAACACACTAATATATGATTTCTCATATATATATATATATATAATAAATTAATTTGCAGTCATTATTTTTACACCTTTTGTGGATTACACGCATGTGACACATTTTTTTTTTTCTTCCTTTTTCAAAAAAATGATTTCCTTTAAAAAAGAGAGAAAAAAACAAACAAACATTCATATTTTATCCGATCTACACTAATAACGTGACTGGTTTGAATCAATTCTGTTGTAATATATATGTATAAATGTTACGTTATTTATATAGCTATTAATGCATGTGTATGTATATGTGTGTGTATATTTTTCTTGGTTGTGAAAAATGAAAAAGGAAGAATTTCCAAAAGCTGCAAATATATATAGTAGCTTGGATGACAATGTTCAGACCAATAATGGCGTTAACTTTGCAAACAAAGATAATGATACATTACCATTTCTACTCCCACGTAACTTTATATTTTTAGTAGAATTTTGTACTTTCAATTATTCTCTCTTAGACAAGTTAAATATTATAGTCTTGTCATTTATATTTTACGTACTCTATATATTCTCGTCACGATGAATACGGGTTTAAAATATATTTATATATATATAAAAAATATATATATATAGATTTTACCCTTTAAGAAATTAATTTATAATTAAAATAATAATTTTGGGTAAATTAGTAATGTAAAAAATATATTATTGTTTTTACTTTTTAGAGAGAAAAAAAAAAAAAAAAAAAAAGACAAATACGACATGAAGCACTGTCGTTTTATTCGTTAAATAACTGCAGTATAAAAAAAAAAAAAAAGAAAAATTTAACGTCGATGCGTAAAAAATTGAACGCACGAGGTTGGGGATGGAACGTAAAGATATTATTACGATGATCACATGATGTGCGGTGATGTAAAAAGGAGTGGTAAGTGGGACCCCGTCGATGTGGACCCCACTGCCGCTCATATCACAAAACTAACTGCTGGGTCACGCTAAGTTCCGTAACAGACAATAAAATGGGGACGATCGTCATAATTTTTTTTAAAAAAAACAACGCTCGCACACCCGTTACAGTCAGGTCCACCTCATCACCCACCTGTTATATCAGTTTGATATCCGGTTTGTTTTCTCTGTTAAATATACGGCGCAAGTTGGCGGCCGTATTTTCCCCTTTTTTTTTTTTAATAAAATTTTTATTCAATACTATCGCCTTCAGTTTTGTGCACTCTCGTCTGGCCTCCTTATCACCGTTCGTTTAGATCTGATGCGATGAAGGGTGCGCGTGTGGGGGTGTCGGATTAGAGACTTTTGTTTCGGTAGCAGAGAAGTTAAATCAGTCAAGTCAATTAGTGGTGTTAATTAAACAATAATTAAACAATAATTAAACTCTTAATTAACAATTTTATAAAGTGTATATGGTGCCAAAAGTAGAGACTGTATTTAGGTTGGAATGGGCCATAAAGGAAGGAGAGGGAAGCCTAGGGAAACATAATAATACACCTACTGCCGTTTAAAGCCCAAAGGCCCGCTAACTGCTGGACCTACTCAAACCACTACAATTATTTTAAACTGGGGATCTTAATTTTCAGTGTTATAAATTACTTAAATTCTAAAAATGATTAATTAAACTAACCATTTTTTCTTAAAATTTTTTAAAATCTGAAATTAATATACATATATATATATATATATATATATTTAACTCGTAAAGTGAAAAAATGGAAGTAATGAAGATAAATGGCGGAGTCTCTCTCCTCTTCATCGATTTTAAGCTTTTAATAAACGGGAATTTATATACTATACGCACCGAAACTCTCTCAGTTCCAACTGGGTTTTGTATGGGATATATGCATGCGAGATCTGGGATACACACACGTATGTATATGTGTATGTATGGATGTGAATTGACGTGTTATTATATAATTATTTGCATGGAATAATTGAAGTAGGTAGCAGTAGTTGGCATTCAGAAATAGAGCGTGTATGAAAGTCACTGTTGTATTCTGATAATTGAAAGTTAGCCACCATCGATACGATCGCTTTTGGATACTGTTTCAATCTGATACTCCTTCAGATTTTCAGACTTGGGAACAAGGTGACATCCATTTTAAAAACCACCCAATTACGTATCTACACGTATGTACAGACACCGTATATGTGTACTCAATAGTATGATTCAGCACCACGTACTTTCGCGATCGATGCCATGTCTATTTTTCTTTCCTGTTCATTTCTGACTCCCACTTCTATCATCGAAGACCGTACTCTTTTCTTCTTTCTTTTCCTTTTTTTCCTTTCGCAATATTTGGTTCGATTGATGAAACGTGCACTTGAAACTGGATTCTTGATAATTGAAAGTTAGCCATTTGAAATACGCTGATTTTTGATATAATCTACGTCGTAACGTAACTAGTCGTACCACAAATATTTTTTTGAAAGAGATTTACAGTGAAAGAACTCGGGGAATAATTGATTTTTTTAACTCTTGCGGAGGTAATGAGAAGAATCGAAAGGTGAAAAATGAAATTGGGAAAGGAGTGAAATTTGATGTTTGTGCGTATATGTTTATATACAGTGTAAGTAATTATGGAAGGTGTGGGAGACATTGCAGAAGGAGAGTAGTTGTTGAGATAAGAGAGGGTTTTGGCGAGAAGCCTGCAGAGTGTTCAGGAGGAGGAGCGGATCCATCCAAGCGTGTGGCAGCGGCGTAAGCTGACTTGGTACGGAAGAGAGCAGGGAATGATTAGATACTTCTGTTATCATTTTAATTATAATAATAATTATTAAATTTTTTTTTGCGGGACCCACAATTATAAAAAATCAGCCGATCATACCACCATCGGATTCATCATGATGTCGTTATTGATTCTTGACAAGTCAAGTGCACGAGGAACTGCTCCACCTGATTGTCTCTAATCTCTTTTCGAGCATAAAGGACACTGATACGGTGTCGTTTCAACAGCCTATTTTTTAAAATTAAATAAAAATATATATTAATCTTTATTAATTGATTTATAAAAAAAGAAAAAAGCCCAAAAAATTTTAAGACGTCGGAGTGAAGGCCCAATTCGCACCAACCTACCATATGATATGTACGTACGTACGTACGTGTGTGTGTGTGTACGTACGTACGTGTGTGTGTGTGTGTGTGTATGGACAGCAGCATCTCGTGTGAGTTGGGTAGGAAGCCATACACAAGACATATATTCTTGAACATTGGAATATGATTCTTTACCTTGAATTTATCAATTAGAATATTACTTTGCATGCAACATGCAGCTTTCCATGTTCTCCAACATATACATACATTGGGTAAGAGTATTTTAAGCCTATAATCTTCACGTTGACTTTTTTTTTTCTTTCTAAAATTTAGTGTAGTTATTTATGCAAATAAATAAATAAGAAAGAAAAAATCAGTATCCCCCTGAGGTGCTCTGTGTTTTATTTTTATTCTCCTCGACGCGGTTTGTGGGCTCTTCACTTCCCATCCACACGCCAAATACCGTGTTCCTTCTTCTTCTTCTTCTTCTTCCTCACTACTCCTTTTGCACCTTTTCCAACCCCACAAATCCCAATACCATCTCCTTCTTCCTCTCTGTATTCATCTCTTTATCTTCTTCTTCTTCTTCTTCTTCTTCTTATCAACTCCGCTACAGACAAAATTAAACGCAAGGGAAAAAAAAAAAAATGGTCATTACATCTGTTTTGTTACTTTCACTCTTGTTCGCTCTTGGGTTTTTTTATATTTTCTTTAATTTCCCATCTACAAACAAGCTATTTATACGGCTGCGATCTAATCTTTTCTCCAGCCACGAATCCCCCTCTGTTTCCATTCCTATCGCTGCAGGTAGTAGCTCTGCTCGGCTGCAATCCGGGAGCAGAAGAGGTGAGCTGAAAAGGGTGTTTGGTACCTTTGATAAGAACGGGGATGGTTTCATAACGAAGCAAGAGCTGAGAGAATCTATGAAGAGCATGAGGATGTCGATGACGGAGACTGAGGTGGAGGAAATGGTGAGTAAACTGGATTCGAACGGTGACGGCCTGATCGATTTCGAGGAGTTCTGTTTGGTGTACGATGATGGGAGTCACGGAGAGATGGGGGAGGAAGGAGGAGGAGAAGAGACGGGGGAACTGAAGGAGGCTTTTGACGTGTTCGATAAGGACAGAGATGGTTTGATTTCGGTGGATGAGTTGGGGTCGGTCCTGTTCGCGTTGGGGTTGCAGGAAGGGAAAAGGGTGGAGGATTGTAGAGAGATGATAAGGAAAGTGGACGTTGATGGTGATGGAATGGTTAATTTTGATGAGTTCAAGAAGATGATGAAGCGCGGTGTTGCTGGAGGTAGGCTTCCCTCTGTTTCTAATTGATATATATACATGTATATGTATATATATATATATATATATAAACAGGTCCGATTGTATAGATAGAATCTTCTTCCTCGTCTCCATTTTTCTCTCACTCTCACACGAACACTCGGCTTGGTGAAAAGAGGAAGTGTACAGGTGACAAATGAACAACAAATGACTCCAAATTCTCACTTTTTATTATATAATAATTTCATATACGTATATAGTAATTATTTTCTAATTATTTGATTAAATAACTGAAGTCTTTATCTAAAAATTTATTATATTTTATCAAATTTATGAAGGTGGTAAATTAATAATTTTATTAAATCAAACTACATCTCTATCTAATTTTAATTAAAAATTAAATTTTGTCGTTATCTTTAGAAATTTTAAATAAATATTTGTTATATATAAATTAATAAATAATTATTGTTTCACTAATTTTTCTAAGTTTATCCCATCGAATTTGTTAAAAAAAAAAAAAAAAAATTGAATTATAAATAATTTTTAAATTTTACACTAATTGGGTTTGCTCTTCTTATAAGGAACTTTTGATTAATTAAACATTTGAAATTATTATTAATGCAATTAGATGCCTAATATGTGCTATACACATAATGGAATTTTTGTAATTATATAAATATTATTTTATGACAACAAAAATTATATAAAAATTAAAATTTTATTATGACTTAATTTTTAGTAAAAGATTCACATGATCAGTTTTATTTATGTACATGTTTTTTTATTTTTTTTAAAAAATTATTAAATAATTAAAATGTATATCATTATATTAAATATAAAATAATTAAAAAATTGACGTGAGTCAATCTCTAGTCTCACATATATATATATATATATGTTATTTGACAATTTTAATTAACTGGAAAATTAAGATTAATATGTAATTTTATTTCTTTTTCTTATCAAACAATCAATGACTAGGTTTATAAGAATTATATATTATGCCAATTCTATAACAGCAGTATATTTATTGTTGTATCATATAGTTTAATTCTGATATATATATATATATATATAGGTGGAATATTTTGTTATATTATAGTAGTAGTCTAAATTTGAGGTTCTAATCACATAATTCCCAGAGGAAGTGCTACGTCTCTTCCGGTGATACACTTCTGGCAAACTTTCCAAATAACATTCCAAAATTCTGAATCTAAACATAGCCTCAGCAGATCCAAACATTAGCCTTTAGCAAAATAAAATGTCATCCGACCTAGTCTGCTATATAAAATACCATACCCCTTTGCATCCAAAGGATCACCAAATTTTCTATTAATCTATGTTGCAGGCTAAACAGTAAGCAAAGAACCAAAAGGGAGGTCCAGATATTCGAAAGCCGCCGTGCTCTTCGCGGAAATATCAGTCTGTCCTTCATATGTTTTACACATAATTATTCATGTATGTCTATGGGAACTATAATTAACAGACAATTTCTGACTGTCAAATCCACACAACATCAAGGAAAAAAAAATTAACTTTGGCAATAAGAATAAAATGTATCTTTTATCAGAGAGTCTACTCAGTTTGACATTGAAAGCCAACACGCCAGCACACTGTATTCCCAAGCCGAAGTGTTGATGACTAAGTCTTTGACAGTATATCCAGGTTCATACAGCAATTGGATGTAAAGAAACATCAGAAGACATCAGGGTGGAAACGCCCGGGAATTGAGTTGCTCTGCTGTGCCTGCTTCAAGTGCATGGTCAAAGCATAATTGTTCACCTACAACAAACCACGTGATAAACATCAATCAGTCGGTCTTCTGAAATTAAAACAACAAATGATGATGGTTGAAAGATAAGAGGTCAACCTCCAATGTTCTCAGCTGCTCCTGGTATTGGGCCACTAACTGCTTCAGATGCTGCAACTCCTGGCTCCTATCCTCGTATTCTCTCTGACGCTCATGCTGAATGCCCACTGCTCGCTTGAGAATAGCATTTTCATGAATAAGTGCTTCTACTTGCTCCTTCAACATCATATTTTCCTGCAGAAAACCAAGCATCATATTCAATACAAGATCAAGAAGGATTTTCATACTCAAGTAATATTCAACAACCCAACAACAGCCACCAACCCTCCAACCCAGAGTATTAAAAAAAAGGAGAATGTAACTGAATACTTATGCTTATCGTATTAATTATCAGTCCCTGGCTTCTTAATCACTGTTAATTTTTTTTTTTTTTAAAAGTTCTTCAAAATCATAATGTAAGGTACAAAACGTCTGAGGTTCAGAAAATTAGAAATGATAATATTAATTGAAAGAACTTGCATTTTAGCCAATAGATATTAACATTTAACAATTCTAAAAATCATAAACTAAGGTTTTAAGAGATTAACAATTACAACTGACAGTGAGAACTCAAACTTACAGTAACAACCTACAAAAATTCACAAAGGACCAAGGTCTAACCCGACCAGCAACAAACAGAAAGTGCACACGTATATACACACAAGAGGGCCAATTAATTTTACAGAATTGATGATAACCAACCTGTTGGAAACTCCGTACTGCCTCTGCACCAGCACGTTCACGAATTGACTTCTCCAGTACCTCCAACGCTCTGGAAGCACGGGCTTTAGCATCGTCCATGTTAGAAACACAACTCATTTCTCTAACAAAGAGTTCCACCCAGTCAGAACCATCCATATAGATGGCATTTGAAGCAAATGGATCCACAATAGAAGAGGTTGCTTCATTAGTTGTTACTGCAGCAGCAATAATAGATTCCTCTCCTCATTAGGGAACGGTAATGCCAATAAAAACTACTTGCACAAAGGAAAGTGAATAGATTCTGGCACTAGAATATGATGGTTTCGCCAATAGTACGGCTTTTGCAGCAACATTAACAATCAGCAACTACTTTCACATATAATCACTGCTGTAGCAAATCTAAAGATTCTAAACACATAGATCTAAAGGTGTACTTGGCATAAAGAACCCATTCAACATATGATACATAGAAAGAAACAGATAAAAACAATTGAAGCAATGCCGCGAGTGTTGAAGAAGCAAGAAATACTACCTATAACCAATCGAAACAGCCAAAAATATGACAAAATCACAAGGTCCTGCTGATACCATTGAAAGAGAGCAAGTGACTATGTACAACCAATAATGATTTGTTTAGAGTACTCAATCAGCAAAGACTTTTACATAGCAGACAAACCACTTTAACAGAAAGATGATAACAGACTGCAATTGTAACACTGACTTAGAATGGGTAGAAACCACTTTGGTTTCTTAAGGTCTCAATGTGCTATTGCAGGCCATACATACTATCTGGTATTTAATGAGAGAAAATGTTGAAACAGGCCTTGAGCCAGGAGCAGAGCAGTGTAAGCTAGACCACCTTATCCATCAGGTAGACAAATCTAGAAAGAAACAATCAAATTTCTATTTCCTGTATATATAATTTAGATAGGAAACAAATCTTGAAGCTTGCTCTAATGCAGCTTATGCCCTTGCAAGTTGCAATGGATTGGTTAAGATTCACGAGGCAATACAAAACTTCACTAAACAACAAGCATAGGTGATTTAAAGTCAATGTATCCTTCAAGAATTTCTAGTATCAACAAAAACACTTCACATGCAGCTGGAAAGAAAAAGTAGTGCGACATTCAAGATCTTGACCTGCCAAAGGCTGATTCATTATTGTGCTACTATGACAATGCATATTATAATAACTCTTAATTTATTTCCAAAAAAAATATAATAACTCTTAATAAACAATTATGGATTCTTGGTTCGAAGTCAATTATTAGAACTTATGCAAGCTGAATGCCCCAAGATAATGTATTTGACACCAACAATATTGAAATTCTGTTGACTTGTAAACACATGCCATTGCAAAGAAAAGGGAAATGACACAATATGGTAAATACAAGTGCAACTATACCAACCAATAACTCCATCAAATGAAATAACAATTTTACACTCAAGTATCACGTTTGAGCTTATTTAATTAATTCGGATCTATATGTACCTCCTGCTTGAAATTGAAGCGTTGCTTCCAGAGCAACATCTGATTTGCTGGAAACGGAAGCCATATTTCTGTCAGCAGATCCTAAACGGAGCTCGTTTAAACTTTTGATAGCTGAATCCAGATCATCTCCACATTCTTTAAGTGCTCTCTCAAGTAGCTAAAATCATAAGTTTTAAATAATAGTTATTAGTTTACCTCATTACTTTGAGAAGTAATACACATCTTCATATCTTTATCATAGCCAAAGCTTTGTTATAATAACTCACATGCTCAGTTTACAAATTCAAATTGCTACATATACAATAGGATGGACATGAGCATCTTTTTTGTTGAGAACTTATAGAAACAGAGAAGTAAAATGTTAGCATAAGTTAATAGAACTTTAGTTCATGGGGTACGATCGTCACCACATTTCTTCTTCAATGAAATTAACTTTTCTAATTGGGGGAAAAAATGTCCCACTCTTTTGCGAGGGTCATCACTATATCCTCCCCCACAATGTTTCCTTCCCTAAACAAAAGTATACAATAATTGAAAACTACGCATGCATTTGTAGCCTAAAAACATCTCTCTTCATGGTCTTAGCATCAACAGCCATGCACATCAGACTCAAAATCTTCCGTGATTTAAGATTTCAAGTTGGCACTTGACAATTTAGAAAAATATACTCCGTTATATGCAGTGAAAAGTAAAGAGAATCTACATCCTAGAGCCAAAATTCCAACTTGCAATAAATCAATAACTAGTCTTAAGAAAATCTCCTAATGTACCAATCTAACCAAGCAAATCAGAGTTCAAAATATGCAAACTGTCAATCTCAACACATACTATGTGAATCCCCTTAGAAATCAGATTCCCTCCATATTTTTCAATGAATAAACTAATAAACGAATTAACATAATAAACACAAATTGGTTCCAGAAATTTTCAACTCGTAAGTTTCTTTCTTCAAACGCAGGCAATCGAAGCCAACCAATAAAGTAAAAAACAAGAGAATTAGGAGAACAAGACGAACCTCCTTGTCCATGTCAGGGAAGATGGCAATGAGTTGATCGACCAAAAACGAGGACTGCGAAGGGGAAGGAGGTGAGAAAGCCGAGATCGATCTTGGAGGAGAGAAACGAACAGGAGAAGAAGATGAGCAGCGAATTCTCTTGGAAACGGGAGGGGAAGCGGTCAATTCCTCGAATAAAGATCTCTTCCCGCACACTATGGCAGACATGTTATCTGCTTCCTCTCCTCTTTTTTCCTTCTTCTTCCTCTCCTCCTTCTCCTCCTCTGATTCTTACTTCTCCACCCAATTACCTACCTCGTTCATGAAACTATTATCTTTTAAGAAACGGACAACAATCGATTGCCGCGCCCTAATCTCCTTTTCCTTCTCGGATTATATCGACTCCGCTATCAGATCCAATCAGATTCCTATTCAAATCTCAATTATATCGAAGTACGATCTGGACGGGATTGGTATTACAGAGAAACCGTATCATTTGATCGGCGATTTTATTACCAACAGTGCCTCCGCTCATGACTTGGGGTGGAGGCGAAGAATAGGAATTTTATCCACGAGGAGCCAAGGGTGATAGACTGACGAGGCGGTGAGTGAAGGAACCAATTATAATAACCCACGTATAATACTCTTTTCTCGAAAAGTGGCGGCATCTCATTGGTTCTCATTAATTTATTTTTATTTTTTTACTTTTAAATTCGGATATTAAACATTCGATTAAATTTTTCCGGATTTGAAATTTTCGGTAATTATAATTAATTTAGTATTATTAACTATGTGATTAATTTAAATATAATAAATTAATTTTCCAATTTTTTTTAAAAAATATATAATTATATTAAATAAATTTGTTGCATTTTGATTTTATATTGAATTATATAAAAAAATTTAATAAAAATCAGTAAAGACTACAAATATGAATAAAGCAGTGAAATTTCATATTTTATGTATTGATTTTTTTATCTTACGAAATAATCTTTTTATTTTCAATAATATATAATATTTTATTAAAATAAAATTGCTTTTTTTTTATTACCCATTATTTGGAGTTAGATAAATTTTTTTATTTATAAATATATTATTCTTCCCTGTAAATATACATATATATATATATAATATATTGACCAGCCCAATTCACAAATTACCCGGCTCATGGTCTGCTGAATTGGGCTCTCTCGTTAGGCCCACTTCTGTGCTGTAAATTCCAATAATATTATATTAGTTGTTATTTCGATGAATCATTTCTCGACGTAAACACTTATTCAAAATCTCGTAAGATTATAAAAATTTGTCATAATATATATATATGTGTGATTCATGCATAATATCATAAAAATTAATATAAATTTTTTATTTTTATTTAATATTAACAATAAATCTGAAAAAATATATTAAATTTATATATTTATATCGTGTCGAAATAAAAAAACTGTGACATATATGTTTTGACTATATTTTATTTTTAAAGAGTTAAAAAAAAAACATTATTTAGTTGAAATATTTTATCTGTATGCCATTTCTCAATCTTGCAAGGTGAGAGTCAAAACAAATATAAACATGAATTTGAATAATTTTTAGATCAAAACCCATGATTTTTTTTTTTTTCAGAAAAAAAAAAAAGCTTGATAAAGCTGTAAGGATATTATATTTTATATAAAAAAAATTTATGAAATTAAAAAGGGAATCATCTTGTGTAACTCACTAATACATAAACATCTTATGAATAAACCATGCCCTACAGATACATATATAATATACAACACCAACAAATGATTAAATGGAGCCCATCTAATTACTCTAAAATGTGAATTTGGTGCAACATGTTTCACTTTTTAACAGCCCTTTACAATTTCTTTCAAAATAATATAACTTTTGAGGGGTTTAACATGAAATACCCAAATTCCAAATTTAACCCAAAATCAATTTTGATATTTTAGAAATAAATAAAAAAGTAATTATAAATTAATTTTATTTAGTTTTATTAAATTATTGAAAAAAATAAATAAGGATGTAATTAAAAGTAATTTTGAAAAAAATAGTTGAAAATTTGTATTCGCATGATATTTTTCAAAGAAAGATTAGAAATATGGGTCATAATACAAATAAAAAAAGCTCAGCCACATATGACTGTTAAATCAGCAGCCCGGACGAACCGGAGTACGCCGTGTGGCAAGACACACTGACGCCGGTGTCACGAGGGAGGCCACGCAGACGATCCACGTGCTTCGCAATCAGACGGTCCAGGATCGATCGTGCGCACGTAGACGGTCCAGGATCGATCGTGCGCACATAGACGGTCCAGATTCGTTTCTCCCTTAGACACGATCGGACGGTCAAGATCAATCTTGATGGACGGTTCATATTCGTTTTCTCTTTAGACACGATCGGACGGAAGAGATCAATCGCGATGGACAGCTCAGATCAACGCAGGATGAGTATAAATACTTTGTGTCACATGGGAACTCAAACCGTAATCGCCTGCCCCCGCAAGAGAATAAGAACCATGCGTTGGAGAAGGAGGTCAACTGCCAACTGCCAATCGCCGCCGTACCGGTCCCCTTGTCGGCTGCCAAAAAAGGTAAAAATTCTCTCTACTCGCTTGGAATTCGATTCCGAACACCCTTATGGCCAAATCAGAGTAAACAAGACAATAGATGAGCCGAAAATCGCGGGTAAGCCGCTGCAGCCAAAATTCTAAAATCTCTCTGATGAGTCTCTTCCCAATTTTTGTTTCACACGATTTTTTATTATTGTGTTTAACGTCCTTTTATGTGTAGGTTAGCCGAAGAAGGAACCCCATCTGCGAAGGAGGATCGGCAGAGCCGCCACACCTGGTGATCCCCTGCCGGTAGATTTGGTGTTTTTAATGATTTTTAGGCCAACTAAGACCCCCTAACTTGTTTTTTTCGCATGATACGTGTAAAGTCGATCAAAATCGATAAAAACTGGCCTGATCGAGGTGGATTGCCACCGTGGGCGGCAGAGTTGGTGTTGGAACACGACAGTGTCACCGTGCCAGAACTCCAAATTTGGCCAGGAAGAGTTTTGGATGCCGATTTTAGATTTTTTGGGTATTTTAGGTACGTGACGAGTATTTTGAATTCCGTAAGAAAAATTTAGGGAACTCGGTACCCGTTAGGAGGCGTGGTAGATAGTGTGACGTCTCAAAACAACTATCCGAGTAAGGTCCCTCACTCTATTCTCCGTTACAGTAAATTGAGTCTTAACGATGTATAATTTCATATTTTTATAAAAAATTAAAAAATTCTAAAAATAATTACAGGTTATTAATGGAGACGGAACCAGTTAGTTCACAATTGTCTTGATTTTCTATTTATTTTCTTGTACTGTCATATTTGTTTGATTTTCGTATAGTACATATTCTTAATTTATGGTTCAATGATCTTATCAACTTATCTGGTTATTTTAATCATATACCGTCAGCACGAATATAATTTAATTGATATGTGAATGTAATATGAGATATTTGTATGCATTTATTGATTGTTTGTTGATTAAAATCTGTAAGTGAAAGACTTGCTGATTGCCTAGGAAAAGACGGACGAGCCTGATACATAGGGAACCCTACCGTGAATGTTACCTCAATCGAACCAGGCTAGAAAGTCTATTACCATAAAGATTTGAGAGATGTGGTTCACCCTTATACTGAACGAAGTATCGAGGCGATTGAATGTTTGAGTTCATGAGTAGGGAGAACATCCCTATGGACCCTCAGGGGTACTAGTAAGCAGGTAAGAAAAGAAAGTTATTGTCTCTTGTTTTTTTATGCATGAAAGTGAAAAGTGGTATGGATGTAAGTCTTCATGGGTTATTTTTAAAAAACTCGTTACAGTAAGTATCAAACAAACGTCTTCAAGTTTAAATGTATTTAAATAAAGTGATGACTTCATTAGTTATTTCTTTTTTATTTTTACCAATATTCAGTTTTTCGTATCTGTGATTAGTGTGGTATTCTTAATGGACTAGTGTAACTCACTCTTTTATTAACTATTTCATATGAAGATGATAAGGATTCAGATCCCGATCAACAAAAGAGTTGTGAGTAGTTCACCACCCGGACTTCCTTCAAGTACTAATGAAGGTTGTTTTAGGATACTTTTGTATTCGCTCTTCTTTTTGTTTCTTTAATTACAATTTGTCTTTTATAAATGACATTCTCGTAACCCTATTAAACATTCTAAATTATTGTATAAGTAATATAAACTCTAACTCTATTAATCGTTTCTGCATTTAATTTTATGAATTTATTTTTCTTTAAGATTTCAGACCTCTACGTAACATTCTATATTTTATTTTTTTTTAAATAAATTTTTCGGTAATTATTTGTTTTTTTTTTTTTAAAAATATAGAATAATTAAGATAGTAAGATAGAATCCCATGCTTGCAAATCCACCAAAATAAAAAAAGTAGTCTACCATGCACTACTTTTTAATTTAAATATAGCTTGAACTTCTAAATCATCTTGAATTAAAACACTAAAAGTAATTTAAAAAAAAAAAAAACTAGTCAAAAAAGGAACATCTTGACACCAATGGGACCTCAAGTAGGCAAAGCATCATGATGATGACCCCCTAACATGGAACCGTGTCTTATGTACATAATATATATATATATATGTGTGTGTGTATGTGCATATAGGTGGCTTAGCTTCAAATTTTCAAATATGTGGTGTTTATATAATATGTATATATATATAAGTATATGATGAGCTCCAAAATGATGATGGGGGGAAGTGAAAACAGTGGCTTGCGATGGTGATCCAGTCACGCTCACGGCAATCTAAGGTTCGTGGAATTGTTGGGTCCCCCCCTAGTTTCGATCAAGTGTTTTGCTGTACGTGAGATGCACTGTAACATCTCTCCCAACAATTTATTTTTATAATAAAAATATATTTCTTTTTTATGAACTATTAATAATTATATATATATATATATATTTTTAACTAATAAATTATACTTATTTTTTCTGAGACAAAATAAATTAAATTCCCCATTCCAACAAATTTTTTTTTGTAAAAAAGATTTCTTCCGTGCTTCTCTATTACACCAATCGTATCGATTTTTACATTTTTTACGTTCTAAGTTTAAATTTTATTAAAAACGCGTAAAATTTATTAATATATTACGAGTTAAAATTAATTTAAATTTGTTAGAAATATTTATAATAAATTAAAAGTTTGTGGAATATTTTTTAATATTTTAATAAAAAAAAATCTGAGGGCATCTGAATTGTGCTTTGGGTTTGTGTGGGTGGGGGTGGGGGCAATGGGTGTGACGCCGCCTTGTCAAGTTGGGCAAACAGTGTGAGTAAATTTTAAGGTCGTCGATGAAATAGACTTGTCACCGAGCGCACTCTTCACCTCACAATTCCCTCCCCCCCCACCCTCCCTCCTTTTAAAATTAAAACCAGATATTTTGCACTCAAATATGCCACGTTTGGCCGGGCAATAAACAAAACAAGACCCATAAATAAAAATAACGTTATTAATTATAATTATGTTACAGTTTACGGGAAAACTACTTTTTACGCCAAACGCTGCCTTTTTAAAATTTTAAGAATATGAATACGCTTTAACAGCTGCAAAGCAGAGCATCCCCTCAAATGGTAGTTGAAATTCAATTAGTCACACATGTTTTCTTTCTTTTTATTGTAGTACTCGACCCTACAATCCACTGTCGTTTTGTCCCTTTCGTCGTCGCCAACGGCTGTTATTCTCGTTGATCCTTCAAATATCCGAAGGCGGAAATTGGATTCGGAGAATCAATGAGCAAACTCCGCTAAACATGGTAAAAAAAAAATAAAAAAAAAAAAATTTTTTACCATAGTCGTGGATTTTTTTTTTAACTTCAAGTAAATTCTAATTGAGTGTACTTTGCAATTTATTAATTCGAATGAGCTGTTTACTCAAGTTATTATGAATAAGATTTGAATAAATATAACTATATGTACACTCAAAATGGCCGTTTACTGTTTTGTAACTATATACTAGGTGCAAATGGTAAAAATCTCTAGATTTTTATGGGCAGTTATATAATATAGATATATATATATATATATATATATATACACACACACACATATATCATTTCACTACGGGTTTAGGGGGTTTGGGAGGAGCCATTTTTGGCTTTTTGGTTACTTTGTTAAGATATTAAATTTAAAAGAAAGTAAATTATAAATTGAATGTGAAAGTAAAATAATAAAATTAGGGTTTACATTACTTACACAATAATTTATAATATCCAATATGGTTACGAGAATGATTATTCTAAAAGAACAGATAAAAAATCAAATAAATAAGTGAAAAATAAACAACTGGTCATCATATTCGCAATCTTTTTGTGGATCGGGATCTGGATCTTGATTCTCTTGATCTGAAATGATTAATGAAAGAGTGAACTGCACTAACAAAGTAAGAATGTCACACTACTCACCGATATAGAAATGAAAGTTGGTAAAAATTATAAAAATAACTAATGGAACTCTTAATTTAAGTAAATTCATTTACCATAAATAAAATTATTTAATTCATACTTATCGTAGCGAGATTTTCAAAACCGACCTATAGAGGTAATAACACAAACAACATCATAATCTCATATTCAATTAACCAGAACAATAATTTTTTATTTTTATCTGACTACTGGTATCTATAGGGGTCTATATGGATGTCCTCTCTATGCGTGAACACTTATTCAATATTGATAATTAACTGGTCGTCCCTATACCCCGTCCGGTATGAGCGCCAAAAATATCATCCCTCAATACCTCGTTCGGTTTGAACGCCAAAATACCAATCATCGATACCTCGTTCGGTATATGAGGTAACATTTACGGTAGGGTTCCATATGTAATCCAGTTCGTTCACCATCTCTCAGAATATCCAGTAAGACTATCATTTAATTATTCACTTAATCAAGCAATTTTTCATTTATATTTAATTTTAAGTTTCACAATTTAACTGTAAATCACAGAAAACAAGCAATACATGCATTAAGAAAATACAACTGAATCATCTTACCAACTCCAACATATTATTATGCATTTAAAACTGTAAAATCAATTAATTAATTAAAATATGAT